ATCTGCATTATGGTGGAATAATTCTTTTTACTGCATTCTCAAAGGAAAACCCATTGTAATACTAAATGGTAGCTAGCACAAAGGAGCTACTTCTGATAATCTGTATCATTGGCTCCTATGTTTGAGTTGTAAATGAGCATGCCCTGGATTAGTTTCATGTTAATACAAAAATATTCTTATAATTGTAAACTAACAATGAATAAAATTGAAGCAGAGTTATATTCCAACTTGTCTGCTTCAGTCCTTATAACTATGTATTTGCTACCTGGAGACAGAAATTCCTTCAAGGAAACCCATATTTATTGAAAATAAGATTTGATTTACTTTAGGATATTAGTAAACTAATATCTAAAAAGTCGTTTATATTCTTTGAAATGAAATAATAATAGGCCTAAAGCTAACCTGATCAGATAGAAACAAAAGGCTGTGTTGGGTTGGGGGGTAGGGTGAGCCCACTGTTTATTCAGATTTTTACATGACTTTTCTTTTAAAAGGTACATGGAATGTATCCAAAACAAATAATGTTTTGTTAGATGAGAAGACCAAAAGGAAAAGCCTAGAGAAAGGAGGATGGATGATCTTTCTTTAATGTCAAAACTGACATAAACACCCCCCCCTTTTTTTTTTTTTTTGCTCAAGATAATTTTCTCAACAAGACACAGATTGCTTCAGTCTTTGCCTATCACCCTTTGAAGCACTTTCCTTATTATTAGCTGTGGGGGCAGGGTTTCCTTTGAGGATTTTTACAGCAGTGAAGAGTTCCTCCTTTAAATACTTTCATATGATGAGGGAATTCCGCTTTCAAAGTGCTGTCATCACTGTAGGTTCTCTGCCATACGACAATTTAATCGTGGGTGAAGATCCTTCTTAGTTTGTCATTAAGGACTTACCTTTCTGAGGGATTCTCTTCCCATACAGCGTCACTTTCTTTTTTTTAGAGATCTAGCAGAGCAGTTTAACAGTCAGTCCCCTTTGTTAAGCTCATGAGTGAAGTTAGCCATAATTCTACTTAGAAATGTTTTCCATAACAGGGAATTACAGCCTTTTGCACAGTGTTTCTTGTCAGTCTCCACTAATCAAGATTTGATGACATATCCAACAGGACACTTTGAAACTGCATTTCTTCTTCATTAGAAAAGGATCTCTAAAGTTAGGGAGTTTCGAAATGTCTTTTTAAATTTTAAATTTTTGAATATTTGTTCCAATGTTAAAATATAATGGTAAACAACAAATAAACTATTCAGACATCAGTTGTTTCCTGGCAGTATCCAGATCTTTTGAGAGCCTCCACTCCATTTCATTCTGCTTCACAATGCTATATTTTTAAATATAGTCTTCTGGAATTTTTTGTGTATATTTAACTCAGATAAACAACATAGCATAACTTTATGGTTTAACAGCTCTCGTGAAATCAGCCCCTCTTCTTCCAGTTCTTCAGTAGGTAATTACAATTATTAGGAAAAATGAGATAGAATTAAAAAATTCCAGATACAATTAAAGTTTTCTCAATGTCATTGCATAAGGTTAAGTTCCCAAGTCTTTGTGGTAGTTTACATAAATGAATATATTTTTGAGGGAGGGAGGGAGGGAAGGAGGGAGGGAGGGAGGGAAAGAAAGAGAGAGAAAGTGAGAAAGAAAAGGGGAAATAAAAGGAATGGGAGGAGAGGGAATGAAAGGAGATAGGGAGAGGAAAGGGGAGAGAGGGAAGGTGGAGAGAAAAACTAGATTACTTAATTTACACCATGACTCTTGGATTTTTTTTCCTTTGAATAGTTTGGCTCCTAAGTGTAAAAGTACAACAAACAATCTACTAATCCAGACAGGACAGTAAGCATATTTCATTTAGTGTGTTTGGGGGGAGGGGTGCTGGAGGTTAACCTCAGGATCTCACACTTGCAAGGCAGGCCCTCTACCACTTGAGCCATTTCTCTAGCACCTTTTCTGCATTGGTTATTTTCAAGGTAAGGTCTCATTATGCCTGGACCAGCCTAGGTTTCAGTCATCTTTGTGTTTTCTCTTATTGCTAGGTTAACATGTGCATATTATAATCATACCATAATCTTCTAGGTAGCAAGGATTACAACCACTGTATCCAGCAATTAATATAGTTCTTAAAGCCACTACTTCCTGCTAGACTGTTCAGAAATGAAAAAAAAGCTCTCTCCTTTTATTGAGGAATAAACTAGAATCTAAGAAAAGATTCCTAAAGTCAAAAATGCTCTGATTCTAGCTTTGACTTTGCTACTTAGAGCTTGTATGACCTTGTCGAATAATTTATCCTTTGCTCCCCAAAAGCCCTGCCAAATGAGTGAGCCAGACAGCCCACATGTTTCTACCATCCTAAGTGTGTTGTAAAGTTCTGCCTTTCTACCTATGTCAAGGTGCTTAATTACAATGATTGAGCCAAGTTGGGTACTGCAGAAAGAAACTAGCATGGACATTTCTTAATCTAAGTAAAAAAGAGGGGTATTATTACATTCTCTTATATTGGCCTCCACAAAGTGCTGTAATTACTCATCCCACTTGCTTATTTAAGGCCACCACGTTTAATAAATATTTAAGCTGTGATTTTATGCTGCACACCATTTATATAGTGAGAACACTAAGGTCAGTGAGTTTAGACTGCCTTGCAGAGAAAAAATCATTGTAACCAGTGAAGCACAAGATAACACCAGAACAAGATAAATCTATATAAGAGGCAGAGGTTACCTGGATGGGAAACGCATGCATGTATTTCTCCATATATATTTTGAATTCTAGAATTAGGAAAATTTATGTTAGAGGTAAGGTAGTCTTATGGTAAACTTAAAACAATTCCTGATCTGAAATTCTTCTGATCTGAAATTTCATAAACTACTATCAAACATGTTATGCCATAGGAGGTTAAAACAGAAAATATACAATGTTTTCTTTTCTTTCTTTCTTTCTTTTTTTTTTTTTTTTTTGGTTGGTTGTGGGGCTTGAACTCTGGGCCTTGGTGCTGTCCTTGGTGCTCTTCAGCTCAAGGCTAGCACTCTACCACTTGAGCCATATCACCACTCCTGGCTTTTTCTACGTATGTGGTACTGAGGAATGGAACCCTGGGCTTCATGCAAGCTAGGCAGCTAGGCAAGCACTCTACCACTAGGCCACATTTCCAGCCTAGTGTTTTTTTTTTCTTTTCGTAGGTAAACGATTTTATTTTTTTAATGTCCTTAAATATTCCCATTAAACCTAGCTTCACCAGCGGTTCACCTTTCTGTCATGGAATGTGTTAAGTAATCATTGCAAACCAAATCTGGAATACATTCTAGAAATTTTTAGGATTTAGAAGATAGAGAGAAATGGATTTTCTTGAGAATGCTAGTGCATCTCTGCATAAATCATTTGTAAAATGTTAGAGTGTAGAAAATTAAGATTTTTCTGGTGATTTGTAGCAATCTTGAATTCAAGTCAAGGAATTGGAAAGCATTTAAATTCCTGGTGTTAAATCTTACACTGACTGAAAACTACACTGTTATAGAGAAGGGTGGGGATGGGATGTGGATGGGACAGTCTGGGCAAATGGCTTATAATTGCATGAGTTAATTTGTTTTGCTAGAAAATGGAAATCATATTGTTGAAGTTCACATTCTGCTTTCTTTCCGTATATGTATTAGCACAAAGAACTGTTTTCAAAGGGTCTCCTTCTGTCTACATGAATTAGTTTGGCTTCTGATAAAGAAAGAATTAAAAAACATGGGGCTGGAAAGGTGGCTCAGTGGTAGAGCACTTGCCTTGCATGCCTGAGGCCCTGGGTTTGATTCCTCAGCACCATATAAGCAAAAAGAAAAAAGCCGGAAGTGGCTCTGGCTCAAGTGGTAGAGCGCTAGCCTTGAGCTGAAGAGCTGAGGGACAGTGCCCAGGCCCAGAGTTCAGGCCCCACAACCGGACCCCAAAACAAAACAAAACAAAAAAACAAAACAGTTGCACTAGGAATTCAGCAACACCATACCACTTTTGTCATTCGGAGATTCAGACTTCAGCTCTGAAACTCCACACATATTTTGAGGAAATGTAAAAACATCTCCCAAAGCTGAACATAGTACTTCAAACCTGACTCTTTACATAAAACATTTGTGCAAATCTTATGGTCCGCTTACCAGGGTTTCATAAAAATGTGTATTTTTAAAAATTATTAGAGTGATTTGTTTAAAGAAAATTGAAAAATATTCCACTGGATAAAAGGTTTTACTTAGGGATAGGTGAGGGATGTTGTTCTGTTTATTTCTCTTAGGAAGTGAACAGGCTTCTTGTCCACAAAATATATGTTATGCTCCAGATATAGCTTGTCCTAGGAAATAAATTAGATTGTGATAGAGAAAACAGGGTAGCGTAGCCACCTTTTTATATTTTATTTTATTTTTGACTTATTTTATTTATTTAAAAATTTTTTTTGCCAGTCCTGGGGTTTGAAACTAAGGCTCTGAGCTCTGTCTCTGAGCCTCTTTGTGCTCAAAGCTAGTGCTCTACCACTTGAGCCACAGCACCAGCCACTTCCAGCTTTTTTCTGAGTAGTTTATTGGAAATGAGAATCTCATGGACTTTCCTGCCTAGCTTGAGCTTTGAGCCTCATGAGTATTCCTGAGCCACCAGCACCTACCACCTTTTTATATTTTAATCATCCAAACTAAGTACTGCAAAAGAATGATTTGAAAACATGTGTAAAATAGTTGAAAAGTTATCATCCAAATTGTGTTTTGAAAAAAAAAGTTAAGATTAATAGATTAAAAAAATGTCAGATTAACAAAGATCATGCCAGTGACAATGAAGACAAGAGAAAGAGTGTTAGAGAGCTTGTAAGTTGGGAAACACTTCTGGAAATGATTGGATGATCTAAGGCTGTCTCAGAAAACACAAAGCCCCAGTGCAACTCTAATCTGGATTTGAGAAAAGGGTTAAAGCACTTGTATTTGTACAAAATGGTCCTCAGCCTTTGACTTGTTCATTCAAATGTCTGTTGCTGTGCTTGCTGTCTCCAGGTTGGCCCTCCTTCCATGATGTGATCAGTTCTGAGGCAATCACACTCACAGATGACTTTTCCTATGGGATGCACAGGGTGGAAACAAGCTGCTCTCAGGTCAGTTGATCCTCACTCACAGGAGGCTCACTCTGCATTGCAAACTCATTGAAGACTTGGTTGTATTGAATCTAGCAGCTAAGGCCAAGTGAGTGCTCACAAGAGAGGAGACAAACGGTACTTCAGTGTTGAAGTGTCAGCAAGTCCAATGAAATGTCCATTGTTGGCTTCAACTCTATTAAGTAGAATCATCGAGTTTAAGGAGGAATAATGCTCATTTGACTCAACACAGCAGAGAGTATGCTGTATTGGGGTAATATGAAGGTTCCATTATATTGCCCTGCATAACCTGATGTATTGATAATCTTCTTCTCCCTCAAATTTTGTGTACTCACCCTTCAGTTATAGTGCCTCTACTTTTTGTGATCCAAACATGGTCAATGAAGACCCCAAAAGTGGCTTTGGACAGGGGAAGCGGGGAAGGGCAGTGAATATTAGCAGGGAGTTTGGAGAAGGGTGATAGGATATAGAGTACAGCGGTAAGCCTGTTAAAGCCAAAGTAGAAATATAAGATAAGGTAATTCTCTGCTTCTCCTACTATGTAGACTTATCCTCATTTCCAAGGATGTTCTACTTAGCCCAGTCCATTATTTTCTGAAGAAATCATAGTTCTGAAGAGGAGGCAAAAAAATTAATGTACTGAGGGACTAAACTTCTTGGTATTTTGTGCTTAAACTCAGAAACGTAGCTAAAACTTCCATATGTACAGAATAAGGACAATGGCACACTCGATAGTAGAGTTCAGTTCTTCTACTGTGCTTTAACAAAGTGAAATGTACTGTCCGAATATTGTGGCACTGATAGTCATTAATGCCAGCTATTGTTTTCTTGACAGATGCCCATTTCACAGACAACTGGTTAAAGGAGGCTACCATAGCACCACGACTGCCATATGGGCCTCCCTCAGGATTCTTCTGCTTGGCCTTTATCTATTTTCTTTTTAACACCCTTCATCAGGCACAGATTTTTAGGGAGGAAGTAGCATATTTACTACCAAGTAGGGAGGGAGATTGGTTTGAACCTGACCATCTGATGAATTTCTGTTTTCAATTAAAAAAAATAAGGCTGGCAAGTTTACTGTCTTCCAAATAAGAAGACCACTCTTCTCCCTTGAAAAACAGATTTTATATTTTATCTTTTCTCTCTTTTCTCAGTGCACTCTCTTTTCTCAGAAATGAGTCTTTGAGCACGATAGCAGAACTTTCTGATGCTGGGTCTCATTCTCTACGGCTGTAATTTAATTAAATTAGGTACAGCCCAAGTTTGCCTCGTTAATGCGCACAGTAACCACCCATGGTAGGTAGTTACTCTCCCTTATTTTACAATTGAGGAAACTGAGGCACAACTAGGGCAATTAAACTTGGATCAGTTTATGTAGATTTAAGTGGCAGGGCTAAGACTTGCCATCTTACTCTAGAGCTTTCTATGGGTTGGGAGCCTCTGGGAGGAAGAAGATATTGAAAAAGTTACAATTAAATAAGAATTTTTAAAAAGTCACACAACTCCCCAGTAATGATTGAATGCAATTCAGTTTTGAATTCAATTGAATTATAACTAAGGATTTTAACTATCACAGAAAAATCTGAGATTATATAGTAAAGGAGAGTTCTTGATAAAAGGTAACTCTAGTCAGGATGGTATTTTGTTATATAGTACTTATCTTTTAAGGCTAATCATTGTTTCTTTTTGTTGCTGCCTTAAAGGGTGTTACATTTCCTTTTCACTCACCTATTTTCAAGCATTGAATTCTAAGCCAGGCACTGGTGGGTCATGCCTGTAATCTGTGAGACTCTTGTCTCCAGTTAACTACCAAAAACGCTGGAGGTAGAACTGTGGCTCAAGTGGTAGAGTGCTAGGTTTGAGTAAAGTAACTCAGAAATAGTGCTCAGGCCCAGAGTTCAAGCCCCAGAACCAGCATAAAAAGAGGCCTGGAGGGGGGAGGGCGGGGGTGGAAGCGGAGAGAGAGAGAGACAGAGAGAAATTTTCCTTAAAGTCTTACTTTCTGATTTCTTCTATAACTCACAGTTGGAATAAACCTCTACTTTTCCCTGTGCCAGAGATTGCATCAGTAATAGTCGAGAAAAGACCATTATGAAGGCATCCTACAATTACAAAGAGTGGTGGAACTTACAAAAGTTGTCAGAATTAGGTAACATTCATAAAAGATGTCAGGCTAACCAAGTACACCTCTTAGCCCTTTGGTTAAAAGTCAAGGTGACTGTTGGTAGTGTTTGGTTCTTTCCTAACAATTGTATGAAGAGCGAACAGTGGCCTTTTCCTTTAGGGCTTCTTTCCCACAACTTCTTTTACTTAGAAAGTTTATGACTCTTTCTTAAATCAACCTTATAAACTTGAAAAGAGGAATCTAAATGTGTTCCACTAAAGTGTAGATGGAAAATATGTGGTTCACAGTCAGTTCCATATAGGAGAGAATTGGGTCTCAGCACTAAGTATCTACAGACTTGCTGTTCTTCATTCCATGTGGAAGAACAGTGTCTGCCACCCAAGTACAGGAATAGCACACTGACTTGAAGTGTGTTGGAGAATCTTTCCATTTCTTTTGTCTTCTAATTTTCTTTTTCTTTGTATAATTTTCTTAAGATTTTGTTCCTTTCTTTTTTCTTGTGAATCCTTTCTACCTTGACTTAATAATTTAAGTTTCCATAGTAGAGCAACAATATGTGTTCTAATCCCTACTTTCTCATTATTAGCAATATATTTTATAGTTATTTTTTTACCCTTTTTTGTCCAGGTTATGTACTGTCTTCCACTTGTTTCTTTCTCTTCTCCCTCCCTGTTTTTTATTTGGTAGGTTTTGTTGTTCTGAGGATGAGGTGGTGTGGAAACTTCTCTGGGTTTGATTTTCCTTTTAAAAAACTTCTTATAGTTGGAATTTACATGGCTTATCTTTTCTCTGGAGTAAACTGCATCAGTGTGCCTTGTGTTGTAAAGAGCTTATCATATACTTTTATTATCTTAAAGGCATTCTCATTTGAATGTGTTGTGTGGAATACCTCTTTCTTTTAGTAATGGTGGAATAACTAAAGACATACATCATTTTACTGACAAATTTCACAAATAAGCTGTGTGAGTGTTCAGGGGTGAAATCAGTAGATTCAACCCACCTCCCTGGCAATATGGCAATATTACACTGCTGTGTGTGCCCTAGCTCTTGTTTTCATATTAGGACACTCTTATTTTGTTGTCCTTTTAAGTGAGATCATTCACACCATTCCTCCAGTAAATTGAGCCTCATATGTGGATATAGATTGTACACAGGTTAGAAGCTGATAATGTACTGCCTCTTCAGAATATACTATAGTTTTTCCATGTGTTCAGTAATTTTTTTAGGTAATCATGTTTTCAGTAATTTTTAAGACTGTTAAGATTTATTCAGTCCTATCATCATATTTCCAAATTCTATAAAGCAGGTCATTCTAAAGAAGTGTTGTGTGAGGAACCTAGCGTACTGCTGATAATAGAAAACAAACCAAGAGGATAGTGATTCTTCACTGTTTTCAGTAGACTTGCTACTAATAAAGGACGTAGGTTACACCATTTTGTTGTGGACATTTTTATTTCTTTTACTATTCTACATACTGATCAAAGAATTGTATTTTAATTTTTTCCTCCGGAGAGAATCCTCCCATCCTCCTGCCACTCCCTGCCTCCAATACTGGAAATTAAAGACAGGGTCTCACCTGTGGTAGGCAGTGTGTAACCATTGAGGTAGATTGTCAGTCCCTTTCTATATTTTGAGGCATTTGCATAAGTTTCCCAGGCTATCTTTGAACTTGTGATCTTCCTACTTCAGCCTCTTAAATAGCTAGGATTACAGGCATGTGTCACCATGCCAGCGAAAGAGGACCTTCATCTTAATTTGCTTCCTGTGGTAGGCATATGTATCTTCTCCCTGGGCACAGGGAGAATTCCCTAGTAATTTTCAAGTATAAAGTATCTCCCTTAATTTTATGTACATTTTCACCTTGTGATAAAATACATTGCTTCTCATTTTAGTTTCAGTGACTATTGAATAATTATTTGGTGATTTTCCCTAATCCTCCAAGCCCAGTCCATTAAGAAGCACTTTGTCAGGAGTACGAAGAGGTAAGATTTGCAAAAAGCAATAGTGTAGGGAAATCCCTCCTGGAAATATTCAGGGAATATTTCCTTCTGGACCAAATGGAAGACTAATAAATCACTTAACTTTCTGTAATAATCTTTAAAGAAACCATCAGATCCCTGGGCTTACTCAACTTGGAAATCATTCGTTACTGTTGCTAATGAGCATTCAAGTCTATAGTTGAGTCCCTTAAGTTTATTTTATATCATTATTTATCCTAAATTAACATTATCAACAGAAAGGTAAATAACCCCCAGTACAAAGTGTTTCTCAACTGTTAAGCAGTTTTTGGTAAAAACACCAGCCCATATTAATCTTGTGCAAATGACAACTCACATATTGCTGATGATTAAAGATGCCTGTGTGTTCTAAGAGACTTTCAGACTCACAACACATCTCTCTTTTTCTTGATTTTTCAGTAAAGTTATAATGCTAAACTGGTGACTTCACAATCATTTCCTTGGCAAAAGATTACTATCACAAGCACAGAGGAAAAAAAGCCCCTACTTACATACAACTGTCTTCAATAACAGTGGGAGAAAACAGCATACTACTGGCAAAATAAATTGCTTTACTTCTTAAAACTGTTTTCTTTTTCCTATCCTGCCCCATGTGCCCAACTGTAAAAGCCCTGCTTTGAAAGTGCTTCATGCTGTAGATCAAACACTTAAGAGAAAATGACAATAATAAAGCCCAAACATCCTAGGAGCAGCTAGGAGAAAGCCCTGTAGGATAGTGGGAAATACATCAGTACAGAAATATGTAACTGTGTTGAATACACTATTTGTGTTTCTTATGCATAAAGTTGAGAATTGCAGTCAGATTTTAAGGAACTGTGTTAAATTTGATGCTCAATCACTTTCTTAGGAGGTTTTTCCCTGGGTTTTCTGAAGGTTCTTGCCAATATTTCTGAGTGGGAGGTTGAAGTAATTAAAAAGTCCTTTAGGAATTGAATTTTTTTTCTTTTGAACATTTATCTCATGTCTTTTCAGAAAAAAACTCATATTCTAGTGTGGTATTACTATTAAAAACAACTTTCAAAATACACAGTAAAGATTCTATCCTGAACTAAATCATTAACATCAGGTTACAGAGATTTCTTCATCAGGCAACCAGGTCGTTTCAGTTACAACCAGGTGTGCTGAGAGATCTCAACGAATTGCCAGTTGGCTGGGGCCAGGGAGGCAGAGCTCATAGGTGGCTAAGGAAACAATGCATCACTGACAACTTCCATTCATCATCTCAGCCTTTGGCCAGGGCTAGAAGCTAGAGAGAATCGGCTCCATGTGCCTGCACCCTTTTGAAAAGAAACACTGCAGTAGTCACTTATGGAAGATGGGGCAGACTTGGAAGGAAGCCCAAATGGGCACTGTGTATTGTCTTTCCTCAAATGGTCTTGCCCCTTTGCAGGCAATCCTGTGGTGGAAACTTACATTGGCTACCTAGTTGGTAACCTAAGCCTGGTGTGAACATTTCAGGATATATTGTAACAAGCATTTCATTTTTATGGTACTCACACCTTATCTGAGGATTTCCCTACGCCATCCCTAACTTTGTATTTGTCTGCAAATGTGTTTTCCACCTTTTCCTAAATAGATTTTCTTTTCCTCACTATTTTTTTGCTTTTGCTTGTATTAGGAATACATTTAGAACTGGTATTTTCTTCTCTTTAATCAGAAAGTTTGCTTCAGATTAGCAAATGAAATTTTAGATTATAAACTAACTCAGTTGAACAAATTAAATTACTTAATTTGGAGTTGATGATGTGGGAATCGAAGACTGAATAACTTGCTCCTAAATGGTTTCTGTTATAGCCTTACTATAATCATTCGGGGTAATTTAAGTAGAACTGCCTTTTCAATACTCTGGAGACCATTAATAAAAGAAGACAATATCATTTATTTGGTCTAGATAGCGATATTCTGCCATTAAACATGTGAGTGCATACAAATGTAAACCTGTCTCAGGCTTTTATGTGCAAACCTCACCTCTCTAATGCTGAGTGACCAAATTGCCAGAGCTACACAGGAGATCAATAACTCTGCACATGCCGGTCATTGAGAGCACTGCTTCCTAGTGGCGTGCACCCTGGTTGTCGAGGCAGGCAGAAAGCGGTGTTTTCCTGTATCCATTTTTTGGGTTAGTATATGTACTGGTGTATCTTAGCTGCTGATGCCTGAAATTTTGGTTTCAGTTGTTTATAGAAAGGAAAAGCAACCTGAGCTGTCAGTTTTGAAATTACCTAAATCTACATAGAATATGGTTTTAAAAAAATGCAAGATTTGTTTTTTTAAGGCCTGTTTGATATTTTCCAAGTAATAGATCAAATCAATTCAGGGTTCACTTCTAGTTCTTTAATAAGCAGACATAGTATGCTGGCAGTAAAATATGAATACACTTTTAACATGGAAGTTGGCATTTGTGCCCCTTTTCAAGGGTTCTTCCCATTGCAATGAGCATCCTTCACTCATCCCTTCACTCACTGCTGGCATTTAGTATCTCAGCCCAGGCCCTTGTCGATTCATATTCTCTTCCCTTGCAATTTACTAGTGTTTGATGTACTGAACCAGCTCAGGGAGTTAAATCATCTGTAGGCCTTTTCTGCCATGATTGTACCTAAATCTTGATTCTTCCCTCTCCCTGAAATAGTGTCCCCCTAGAAATCTACTTTCTTCGCATCCTTATTCTAAAGTCACCAGAGGAGGCCTTCAGTGAATCTTGGTACTTCCTCATCCTTTTCAAACTTAGCATATTCCTTTTCTCCTTGTTAGCACTGAGTTTTACCAATCATACTATACCCTTTACTTGTTGTCATTCCTTCCACTGGCATACAAGCTGTATGAGGCTAGGGACTGTTGCCTGCCGCTGAGGGTCCAAGTTAGTCCATGTAGCTGACACTCTACAAATGTCTGCTGAAAGAATGAGTGGAAGTCATTTACCCCAAGCTTTGGTTTCTCTGTAAGATGATGAATGGTATATCTTCGTGATCTGAGTGAAGGCAGTATGCTAATGTCTCCATTTCCCTTCTAAGGTCTCTGCTCAGCAGCAGTTGGGAAATGTGAGTGTATCCACCATGGGTTTTGTTCATAGAGCCAGCCTTTGTGAAGAAGCTTTCTCAGAACCAGATTTCTCTTATACATCACCTCTCCTTTTATCTGAGCCCTGGGCCTTTTCTCCTTCCCTGGCTTTTTTTTTTTTTTAATTGTTAGAAGCACCAATTTTAGCTAGACAGCTTCCTTCGCTGTATACTGTAGTTCATTTGAGAAAAGAAGCCAGCATGACACTCCACCTATTGGAAGCCAGGAAGCACTTGCATGGGCTAGAAACCTTTCCATTAGTTACACTTGCAGGCCTGGTGACCATGACATAAATCTACTAAGCCTTGCCATTGCTTCTCTGGGTTCCAAGATTATCTGATGCTTGTCTGATGTTAAGTTTTACTGCCCATGAAAGCAAACATCACCTCCGTCATGGCCAGTTAAACAGTATCTTTTACAGTGGACTTCTGCATATCTGAAACCCACCCATCCAAAGCCAAAAGTAATGCCAGGTTGGAGGGAGAGATTTTATTCTGCCATGTTTCTTACAAGGGGAGATCAAGGGTCAATTCAATTCATAAAATTATTGCAGTCATTTTTCACCTTGCTGAGAGACCAAAAAATACAGTGGCTCCTAAAAGACTTCTGATATGCAAACGTTAGTGTTTTTTATTCTCAGCATGTGGTGCAAAGGCTACTAGAAAGCATCTCTGCCTCTATTGACAGGCAAGATTCGCAATCATCCAGGATGCTTTCCATCATTTCTGCACAGACGTTTAAACTGCTTGCTTTGCATTTCTTTCAAAGCCTGCTTTGTTTCTCCTTCACGTGTTGTTCTTCTCTTGCAGTGTGGGGCTCATCTTGGGCACATTTTTGATGACGGACCTCGTCCGACCGGCAAAAGATACTGCATCAACTCAGCATCCTTGTCTTTCACACCTGCAGACAGCAGTGGAGCGGAAGGAGGCAATGGTGTCAACAGCCCAGGCCCAGCAGACAGAGCAGAGCTGTAGAGAGCATGGAACACCATGAGAAACAAAGTGTACTTAATGCACCGCTTATTAAAGAAATCAAACTTGTTTTACCTTAATAGATATATTTTTTCAAAAACTATATAAGGGCAGTTTTATGCTATTGATATTTTTCCTTCTTTTGCTCAGAGGTCCTGCCCATCTATGTATTTTGCTATTGACTAGATATGAAACTTCATAGCTTTTGCAAATGGAGATAGCTTTGTGAAATTTCTTCACAAGCCACTTTAATCGCCTTTAGTATTATTTTCTTTGAGCACATGCCTTCTTTTTGTGTTTTGATGCATCCCCTCCCTTTCCCCATTGTTTAAGAAGAGAGGCAGAAGATGCTTATTCTTCAACCCTGCTGGTCAGGGTGGTGAGCAGGGCTGGGAGGTACAGGGCCTCTGCACACGTGGCTGAAGGCTTTTGTGCAGATCTTCCTGAGATAAGGATGAGTGATAGCTTGGGAGACTTAGCTTTGTGGAAAGTTTGAGCTAAGGTCTTTTTTTTCCCCTCTCTACAAGGGTGTGAAGGTCTAAAGTCTTTCCTTATGTTAAATTGTTGCCAGATCTGAGGGAGTGTACTGAGTATTGTGGCAAAGAACTAAGCATCGGCTCACAGGCCTTCGTTTTATTATTTTATTTATTTTGTTTTATTTTATTTTCCATTTGAAAACATTGGAATGTAAGACAACTATAAAATGTTGAACCCCATTTTGTCCAAAGTTCACAAAGGAGAACACCTGCCTGTTTGCCTTTTATAAGACTTTCTTTCCACACCTAATACCAGCTGCAGCTGGAAGGGTATTTGGTAAATTCCCCTATGTAAAATAAAATACCAGGGACAACACACTTCATCAAAGCAGCAGAAAGTGAGAGAACAGAGAAGAGTAAGCATAAAGTCTTGAGCACTATGAAAAATTGAAGGGATACTCCATACAACAAATACAACCCAGTGGGGACATAGTACACCGATCTTCAGGCGACCTGTGGGAAAACATTGGGCATCAAAATCAGTAGAACAAGGCCTGAGTTCTGTGCTTCATTGAAATCAGTAGAACAAGGCCTGAGTTCTGTGCTTGACCCTAATCTGCTGTGTGACAAGCCATGTAAGCCTCTTTGTGCCTATTTCTTCATTTATCAGCAAAGACTTACAATATACATAAAATGTCTTGATATTCTCAGGGCAAAATTACTATATTACTATACAGTTAAGACAAGTGTTATAAAATCACATGATTCTGATTCTTACTGCCTCAGAGGTGGAAGCTTAGAGTTGAAATAGAGAAAGAACACAGATTGACTTAACTTATGGGTATGAAAACAGTTGGACCAAGAACCAGAAATTTTTGTTGATAGCAACACAGTTGGCTTCATGTTGAGAAGTTCTGCTCAGTTGCTTTATAACATTTAATCTGGTGGAATGGTATCATGGTGTGTAAAGTTTCCATAGGTTTGAACAATGGTGATAGAAATTGATACTGTGGTATCCCAGGTATGAAAGTACAGTGTGTTTGTAACATTGAGTGCTAATCTTGAAATGCAAATGTTAAAAAATAACTTTTAAAATCTTTCATAGTTTGTGAAGACAGACATGGGATTTTGTTGTTGTTGGGTTTTTTTGTTTGTTTGTTTTTTGTAAAGCACCAAAAAAGGGATCCTTGACAATTGTAAAGACACAATGAGAAATGAAAAGCATGATGTATCTAAATATCTAAAAGCAAGAGTGGCCATGTCTAGATGCCTCCCACACTTTTGTAAGCATCTCAGGGAGGCCCTTGATGTTTGTCCACTCTGCTTTGTCAAGCAATCCCAGAGGACTTAGGTTCAGATAAGTGTACCGAATCCAAGCATTCAGATGCTACCTTAGCCCACATGATTCACCTCAGGCCCTGAGGTCATTCTGAAACTCATAAGCTTTGCTCCCCTCTAGAACTAAGGTATAAAGTTTAAGACCAGACAGACCATCAGTGTCTGGACAATCCTAAAAGTCTTCCCAACTTCACAATAATGCAAAGATACCATGTGGCATGGCTAAAGAAGGGAATGGATTTTTCAAAGCCTTGTTACAGCCTGTTCTTAATCCTTCACAGAGGTCCACACAGCGCTTCTCCACTTCCAGCTATATGGCTGGGTTGGGGTAGATGAGGAAGATAAATGAAGGGCTCTTCCCTCTCCCCAAAGACTCTGGGCTGTCCTTGTTCCTGCCCCTTTTACAGTTGGAGTTAGCATTGCCCTCAAAAAATAGAAAACAAATGTAAAAATAAAAACAGCTTCCTGTCTGTTTATTGTCTTTTTCTTAAGGAAAGTCATTTGTTTTTTCTATAAGAAAAAGAACTATAAGAAAAATGCAACATCCATTGAAGGGGGTAAAAAGTAGGGTGTATGCATAGAGTTTAATTCCACATTGCTTTTGGGCTTAAGTGGTATCAGATTTCAGTATATTTCTGTCTTATGTTAAAGAAATATATTACTAAATGTCAGTGAGCAATAATGTCAGTTCTCGAGAACTAGATTTATTTTTGTAGGATATGGAGTGCAATGAACTGAGTCAATATGGCAAGGTGTATGTGATCTGTGGGAATTATGCCATTTAGCATAAAAAATGCATGGGACTTTCTCTTCCTGCATTCCAGCTCTTTCTTTGTCATGGGATGATGCAGACTTTTTCTAGTAAGCAGAAACTATGGTCATACAGCCATACAGAATGGATCTGAAGAAAGCAGAAGTAATCGAAGGTGATAGAGAACATTTCTGTGTATTAAGCTTTTCACTTCTTAAATGCATTTAAATTCTTACAACATACCTATTTGAAGACCTTTCCATGTTCCTTGTGTTTAAAATGTCTTGCTTTAAATATGAAAAAAAATAATGAAAGAGGGAGTATTATTTGTTTTGAAGGTCTAATGTTATTCTTGACTTTTCCTTTGTAATATTCTCCAGATCAAAACTTTTGGAAAATTAAGAACCCCCTTTCCTATGTTTGTTGTACATGGAAGTTATATAATAAAAACTTCTTTATAAAATATTTTTCTCGTCTCAGATTCCCAACAATTCCTCTTGTTTCTATTTATTATTGTATGGATTGTCCATGGGAGTTTGCAGTAGGCTGCTCTGTTGACTTCCTTGCTCAATTGGCAGGTTTGTCCTTGGTTTAGTGAGAGACCAGTCTCTGATGTAGCTTTGGGCGTTGGGCTCTGCATAGTCTAGACTATGAGAAAGGTCTATAGGAAAGGGAAACATTTTTTTTTTCTGAACTGTTTTTTTTTATTGTGAAAATACTGTACAGAGGGGTTACAATTACATGGACAAGATAATGAGTACATTTCTTATCAAGCATTGTAGCCTCCTCCTT